TAAAGCACCCTGTATAGTATTGCATTCAGTATAGGTATTTAGAAATGAACTATTGACAATAAAAATGAATAGTATGGCTGTAAATTTTAAGATTTGCATTTTCAGACCAATTTAATCTTAGACACTGAATATATAGACAGTGTTAAGGTAATATATTGCATGTCTTCTAAAAAACACATAGCACATTTTTCAGTAGCTCTGTGCTAATTTGGTGTGTTTTTATTTTTTCAGCAAGGTGTTTGGGAAACTCTGCTAGCAGCTCTAGAAATGCTCATCAGAGCAGATCACCACCAGCAGATGTTTAATGTTAAGCAGTTACTGAGAGCTCAAGTGGTTCATCACTTTCTGCTGACTTGTCAGGTTTTGCAGGTACATTTGTTGTAACTACTTTTGGAGATATTTTCTGCAATTGTTTCTGTTTAATAACTCAGTACTATGGAGATCAAGGGAGTCCCTGGGTGGCACAAATGGGTAAACGTTCAGCTACTAACCAAAAGGTTGAAGGTTCATATTTACCCAGAGATACCGCAGAGGAAAAGCCTGGAGATCTATTTCCACAAAATAAGCCATTGAAAACCCTCTGGATCACAGTTCTACTCTGACACACATGGAGCAACCATGAGTCAGAATCAACTCGATGGCAAATGTTGTTTTGCTGTCTTGTGTTATGGACATCAAATTTTTGTGAACCTTTGAATGGTTTATTTTTTTCTCTTCTCCATCTCTTCCTCTACTCTCGGGAATCCCTTCATTCAGCAAGTAACATAGGAGTTTTCCACTCCTGCCTATTATAGTTTAATTTTCATGTTGTTATATTCTCAACTTAATTACCAAAAAGACTAATATATTTATGAGCTGTTTCTTTATGTTGGGATATAATAATAATTGTGTGATGTCTGGAATGTCAACAATGGTGAAATTTTAATTTGTACCATATTCCTTAAATAACCAATTACAAATTTGTAATGTTTTAATCAGTATTATGTATTGGCTGAAGATCTGTTTTATATGCTAAAATTAGCATCATGAAAATAGATTATTTCATATATCCAAAATATTAAAAAGTGGCACTTACTTCATTGCATTGTAGTATCTGTGCTGTGGCTTGGCCTCTAGTTAAAATTTTTTCTCTGCTTTTATAGATGCCTTTTTATTTACTAAATTGGTGTATTGGACAATTTTCCAGGTTTGTTTGGTTTCCATATGTGTCAATATCTATTAGAAGTTTACCAAGTTAGATAACTGCAGATGTTCCATGGCATCAGTAATGTTTTCAGTGCCTTTCCTTCTGTGTCACTAATGGTTTATTTATGTATGTGGGCTTAAGTAAAAAGTCTATAACAAGGTCTATAAGGTAACTACTATGTTCTGGCTACTACTCCAACCTCATCTTCTGCCACTTCAGCTCCCTTGACTTTCTTTCACTTCCTTAAACAAGTAGATGTTATTTTTGCCTAAAAAGTTATTGATCATATTCTTTTCATCTGGCCAGTCCTTCATACCTTAACTTGAAACTTCTTGAGAAATTCTATCTCTGCCCTTTCCATCCAAATTAGCCTTTTTCCTTTATAAACTTTTACTCTCACTTTGTATACATACAATTTGTTAGTCTTATGTTGTTTATAAGATTATGATTTATTTCCTTCTATATCACAAGGGAAAGGATAGTGCTTTTTGTTGATGATCGCACTATAGTCCCAGTACCTAGCACACATAAATGAAAAAAACCACACTGAATCAAGTTGATTCTAACTCAAAGTGACCCTATAGGACAGAGTAGAATTGCCCATAGGGTTTCCAAGATGGAAAATCTTTACAGAAGCTGTCTGCCTAATTTTTCTCCTACAAAGTGGCTGGGGAATTTAAACTGCCTACTTTTTGGTTAGCAGCCAAATGCTTTAACTTCTGTACCACAGAAGCAACCATTGCACCACCAGAGGCACCCAATAAATAATAATAATTATTATTATTTTTATTGTGATTTGGGTGAAAACTTACAGAGCAAATACACTTTCCATACAACATTTCACATACACTTTGTCTCATGACATTGACCACAATTTATCACAATGCAACATCTCCCCTCCTACTTCCTCCCAATAGTTACCTCTTCCCTGTGTCCATCCCTCCGTGCACTCCTGCCCCCTGAGCTGTCTCCCTGTGTGTAAGCAGCCCTTCTTTCTCCCATGCTTGTTCTCTCCAAGGAGTGTATCTACCTCAGGTAAATGTTCAACTCATATGCCTGTCTATTGTTTGGCTGGAAGCCACAGGTTGGGGTTGAATTCCAGACCTGAAGGGCAGCTTGGGGCCATAGTCTCAGTGGTTGCACCAGGCTCAATCGGACCAGCAAACCTGGTCACCCTGCCTTTTTTTTTCGAAATGATTTTGAGTTTTGTTCCATATTGTTCTCCCTCTCTATCCAGGATCTCCTACATAGATCCTCTTGGTTGACAGTAGTAGCCGGGCACCATCTAGTTCTTCTGGTCTCATAGTCGTTCGTATAGGCTGCAGATCGGATGGTGTACCAGTCACTAGGACTAATTGTTTCCATCAGTTTTTGGTTTTCTTCATTCTTCTTTGCTCTGGACAAGGAGAGACCCATCATTGCATCTAGATGGCAGCTTGCAAGCTTATAAGATCTTAGTCGCTACTCACCACAGTAAGAGGTAGAACAATGTTTTGCGTAGTATGTTATACCAATTGAGCTTGATGTCCTCTGTGACCATGGTCCCAAGCCCACAGGTTCAACTGCTTGGTCCCTCTGGATAGTTGGCTGTGATCAAGCAGTGACTACAACCTTGCCCCTTGTCAGCTCCACTATACACCTGGGAATTTAGATCATACATGTAAACTTATAGGACCATGGTCTGCCAACCCTATACATGTTCTTGGGTACACTCCCCACTTCATAGACATACCTACTATTTCAGCCTGTCTACCCATCTATCCACCCATATACCCACGTTTGCCTTCACTGACAATGCCATACTATATGTGCAGAAGGGTTCATCTTTGTTGTCTGTATTTCCCATGTACCTCTCTATGTCTTTCTCTTCCTCAGTGCCACTATATTGATCACTCACATTTGGTACATTGCCCTTCTCTTCACCCAAATCAAAACTTATCTCT